GATAGTGGTGTACGTGCTGTACCTCCACCTACCGCGGGACCGCGTCATACTCCCCCGCCAAGCCACACAGCCGGGTACGACAACAACGTCCGTGCTGATGGTCGTGGTCGCGGTGGTGAGGAAATTCACGGGGTGCGCCCTGGCGAGGTGAGCGGGGTCCCGAAGGTAATTGGATCCTCCAGTCCGGGAAGTGGTGGTAGCGGGGACTCGAGGTAGACGTCGATGACGTCTCTACCCGACTTCCCCACGGCGACCTCGTCTCGGGAAGTGCCCGGGGTGGCAGCGTCCCCGGTACTCCCGACGTCGATCTCCATCGGTTCCTCCTTGGCCGGGGTGTCGATGGAGGCGGTGGTGGCTTCCAAAGGAACCGGGTGCTTGGCCAACCGATGTTGTTGGCTGGTTGGAGCCGGCCGGTCCTTCTTGGCCTTCTTGGCCGCCTTTATCCGGAGGAACCTCTCCCACTTCCTCATCTTCCCCGTCGCCTTCTGCCCTTCCGAGGCTGTCGCGGGCTTCACCGGCGTCTTCCGGGCTTTCCCCGGAGCTCCCTCAGTCCCCGTAGGAACCTGGGACATCAACGGCCGACTACCACCCGCCACGTTCAGCGGGCGAAACCCGCTCCGCGGGTTGAACCGCAGCACGCGGTCCTTTTCGGCCTGCGACCACTCGTTGGGCAGTGGTGGAATCTTCCCGTCCACCGTGGGCACCCCTGGCTTCCTTCCCGTCGCCGGTGCTGGCTTCGGTTTTGTTGCTGATGGCGGTTTCCCGGTCCCTGGTGTCGGCCTTAGCTTGACCAGCCGCTTCATCACTCCCGCAGGGCGCCGGACTGCCTGATGGACGGCCCCTCCGCAGGCGTCCCATCCTCGCTGGAACGCTGCTCCCAGGACTGGGTCATTGCGGAGGTCCCCCTCACGCATGGCCATCACCGTCTCTGCTGTCCACGGGTGGTGGTTCGTGGACACCACCGCCGCTGCTGCCTGGCGGAGCAGGTCTGCTACCTGCTCCAACGATAGGGGTGTGTTCGGGCTTCCGGACATTTCGCTCTAAAAACATCGTGCGGTTAGTAACTTGTGCGTATAAACATTTTACCGTTACGTGTTTATCCTAGTTTGTCCTTGTTACGTATTACTCCGGGAAGCCGAGGACACATATCGCACGCATTGACAAAGTACGACTCGTTTATTTATTATTAACGCACAACGGCGGAACACACTCAATTATGTTACATATATATAATATCTAGATAATTACCGATAACATAATATCTTACCATAACATTTATAGGTATATACATAATCACTGATAACATAATATCGTACAATAACATATATATATGTATATACATAACATCTTTCCCTTCTAATAATTTTAGTACAATAAATTAACTTATATAAAATGTATACGATTTATAAAATAATAATAATAATATTTCAACATTTACAATTTATACATTACACATATAATTTAAATAGATAATACAAATTTTTTTTTTTGACACTTCACTCTAGTTCCCCTGGGTGTACCGAGTCATTTAAATCAGCGTTTCCCAAACTGTGGTCCGCGGACCCCTAGGGGTCCGCACGTATACCGGAGGGGGTCCGCGAACGTAAATTAAAAATTTACAAAGTATACCTATCCATAAAACGAAAATAATGATGCAATATTCGTATTACATGGGAAATACTGTTGATAATAAATACATTGTTGAAATAGTTATCGTTGAAAATCAATTAAGATTAGATTATACGTATAGAAGACTGCAGATTGTTCGCGTCAGAGACAGATTGATCGCGTCGGTCAAATAACCGATAGTTTGTTCGTTGCAGCCGTATCGTCGTATACGTAGTGTAGCATACTTTCAGTTAATTTATATTATAAAATAATTGTACGTAAAAATTTATATTTTTTAATTTAATTTATTTTTTAAAATGAAACGCTGGTTACAAAATAATGAAACCACTATGAGTGAAGAAAATGAAGGCGATTCTAGAAGTTCTAAAAAAGGATCAACGCATGTAAATAAGCGTCGTAAGTTTTCAGAAGAATACATAACTTTTGGTTTCACGAATATAAATGTAAACAACGAAGAAAGACCCCAATGCGTCATATGCTATGAAATATTATCGAACAAGTCCATGAAACCAGCAAAACTTCGACGTCATTTACAAACCAGACATACAGATTATCTTACAAAATCTAAACAATTTTTTGAATCGAAAGCAGCTGAATTAGAACAAAGTAAAAAATTAATTAAAAAGACTGCAATTGGAACTAATAATGAAAGAGCTGTAACAGCATCTTATCAAGTACCTTTACTTGTTGCAAAAAGTGGCAAACCACATACTATCGTTGAAGAATTGATCCTACCAGCTGCAAAAATTATGGTTTCTGCTATGTTAGGAGATAAAGCATCAAATGAATTAAGTACGGTTTCTTTATCAAATAATACAGTTAAGAACAGAATTGTTGAAATGTCAGAAAACATTAAAGAACAGCTTATTTCAAATATCAAAACAAGTAAATTTTATTCTTTACAATTAGATGAAAGCACAGATATTTGCAATGACGCAAATTTACTTGCATATGTCCGTTATGAAAATCATAATACTATTACTGAAGATTTTTTTATTTTGCATATCTCTACCTTCCAATACTACAGGTGAGGCAATATTTAATATATTAAATAGTTTTATAATAAGTCATGATATAAAATGGAATAATTGTGTGGCGGTTAGCACAGATGGAGCTCGTGCGATGTCTGGTACTAGATCAGGCCTGCAAGCTCGTTTAAAAAACAATTAATTCGTCTATTATTTGGCATCATTGCTGTATTCATAGAGAAGCTTTAGCTGCAAAAAATATGCCAGAAAAATTAAATGAAGTTTTGCGTGATATTGTGCAAGTAGTTAACTTAATAAAAGCTAGATCTTTGAATTCTCGCATTTTTAATTTAATTTGTGAAGATATGGGAAGTATACACAAGCAGTTGCTATTGCACGCTGAAGTACGCTGGTTATCGCGAGGTAAAGTTGTGTCACGTGTTTTTGAGTTAAAAAATGGAATTAGAATGTTTTTTTTTAATAACTCTATGGAAGTTACTAAATATGCAAATCTTTTCAATAATTTTGAATGGCTCTGTACAGTGGCCTATTTGGCTGATATTTTTAATTCTCTGAACTCATTAAATATTAGTTTACAAGGGAAAGAAGACAATATTTTTCACACGGAGGATAACATTGAAACTATGTTAAAAAAACTTGAGTTATGGAGAAAACGTGCCCTTCAAAACAATTTTAACCACTTTCCAACTCTTTATGCATTTATAGAATCATCCGATGAAGTTTTTCCTCAGGACACAAAAGATATAATTATTGAACACCTCCAAATTTTGAAACATTCATTTCGAAAATATTTTCCAGTTCCTGACAAAAATAAAAATTGGGTAGTAGACCCTTTTAATGCAGATGTCCCTGATATAACTGGTTTAACAACAACACAAGAAAATCAATTAATCGAAATATCCAGTAATTCTAATTTAAAAAGGGTTTTCAAAGAATCTTCTTTGTCTTCTTTTTGGTTGAGTATAAGACAAGACTATCCAGAAATATCGGACTCAGCACTAAGGCCATTGATGCTTTTTTCAACAACTTATCTCTGTGAAAAAGGATTTTCAGCTTATGTGTACACTAAAAATAAATATAGAAATCGATTAAATATAGAATCAGATTTACGTATTCAACTTTCTAATATAGATCCTAAAATACCAGATTTAGTATTAAAGAAACAACACCATCCATCACATTAAACGCATTAATTATTTATTATAAAAATAATATATCTATTTATCCATTTTTTTTTATTAATTCAATTTTTCATTATAAACATATGTGTATTTAATTTTAAAAATAAAGCAAACAATTTAGTATTATTATTTATTATTGCTTTAATTTAAATTTTTATTTAGGGGTCCGCGATCTTTTTTATTTTCTCTAAGGGGTCCGGCAGAGAAAAAGTTTGGGAAACGCTGATTTAAATAACTATTTTTTAATTTATTGACATGCATTAATCTGATTTTTCCTTCAACCCGAACCAAATAGCTGCATGTTCCTATCATTTTCAATACACGTCCAGTTAACCATTTCTGCCCTTTTGAATTATTTCGAACAAGAACTTTATCATTTATTTCGTACCTAGTTACGTTGATATTTTTATTCTTCCCTACAAAATTTGGTGGTTTTAATATGGACAAATGGTTTTTTGGTTTAAAATTAAATATTAATTCTGACGGACTACAACCTGTGGTTGTTGTTGGTGTGTTACGATATGATACTAAAATATTATTAATTTTTGATTGTATTCTTTTTACATCTCTCTCAACACACAAATTCTTTATTAATAATTTTTTTATCGTTTGCACCCCTCGCTCTGCCAACCCATTTGACTCAGGATTGTAAGGCGGCGAATGTACTAATTTTATACAATTTTTCTCACAGTATTCTTTAAATTCATTTGCACCAAACGGTGGACCGTTATCGGACACCAATATCTCTGGCGAACCAAAACGACAAAAACAATTTTCTAGCACTTCAATTACTTTTGTAGCCGTTGTACTTCCCATTGCAAAACACTCAATCTATTTGCTAAAACTGTCGACAATAATTAATAATTTAACTTGATTTATTTCTAAAAAATCTATGTGTACTCTTTTCCAAGAATCTGATGGATTTTCCCATGGTATATACACTTTTTCGCTAACTTTCTTATCATTTTGATTACATTGGCATTCCGTACACGTCTTAATAAATTTATCTATATCAGAATCGATATTAGGCCACCATACATATGACCTTGCAAGCATTTTCGAACGAACAATACCCGGATGGTTTTTATGTATTAACCCCAATACGTCCTCTCTTAATGACTTTGGAATCACCACACGATTTCCTAATAACAAACAGTCGTTTACTAACGATAATTCTTCCCGTCTTTTATAATATTGTTGATATTCAGAATTTAATAATTTTTCTTCCGGCCAACCTTCTTTTGTATACCGACTTATTTCTTCTAACACTTCGTCAGTACTTGTTTTTTTGCTCACTTCCTTGTACGTTAAAGGTAAATTTTCTAATAATAAAATTGAACATGCATTTTCCCCAGTACTACTACATTGTGGTAATCTAGATAACGCGTCTGCATTACTTATGTCTACCCCTTTCCTATGTTGAATCTCGTACTGATAAGTAGACAATATAACTGCCCATCTTTGTAATCTAGATGATGCTACAACAGGTATATTCTTTGACGGATGAAAAATTGATTTTAACGGTAAATGATCAGTTACTAAAATAAATTTACGTCCAAATAAATATTTATGGAATTTCTTTACTGCAAAAATTATTGCTAAACCTTCACGCTCAATTTGTGCATAATTTTTTTCTGCTGCTGATAAGGTACTAGACGCGAATAAAATTGGTTTTTCCTCCCCATCTATTAAATGACTAAGAACTGCACCAACTCCGTAGCTTGAACTGTCACACGTAACTACTAGAGGTAAATCTGGATTATATGTAACTAATAATTGACTTTTTATTAATGCCTGTTTTACATTTTCAAACGCTAACCGACATTCGTCTGACCAATTCCAAGGTATTTTATTTTTTGTTAAATTGTACAAGGGAGCTAATATAGATGACGACATTGGAATAAAACGTTGATAATAGTTAATGAGACCGAGAAATGATTTTAATTGCACTACATCATTTGGGCACGGTGCGTTTCTTATCGCATTCATTTTATTTTCATCAGGATGTACGCCTTGATAATCTATTTTATGACCTAAAAATTGTACACTTGAATAATAAAACTGACATTTCTCGAAATTTACTTTTACTCTATACTCATTTAAACGTTCTAACACTGCATTAACATTTTCTTCACACTCTGACCTTGACGAACCACAAATTATTATGTCATCTAAATATACTTGTACTCTAGAAATACCTCGTAAAATATTTTCCATGACCGACTGAAATATGCTTGGCGCTGACGCTACTCCATAACATAAAC